CTTGGGGGAGATCTAAAAACCATGCAAGAAGTCATTACCTTCTCCATTAAAGAAAACCATACAAAAACACCATCAACCTCACCACCAAAAATAAATACAGATCATTTATATATAGTTTAAGACATAAAAGCCCAAGCTTCGACTCAGAAAATACAGGTTTTCATTCCAAGATGTACAGCAGCACTTTTCCTGGAAAAAATGCATCACTGCTTTCTAGCAAGAGGCTTCCCTCTTCCCCGTAAAGAAAAACCCAGCCACAGTAACAAACAAACACTCCTCACTTCAAAGAGGATAGAGCTGCTTTCTTTTAGCCCTGCTTCCCTCCCTGGGGCAAAGCAGCTGGTTATAGGATTCACCTCCAAACAGGGCTATCATCTGGTCTACTCTGAGGCATAAGGTATGGAATTAAGTTCATAGAATCATAGAATGGCCTGGATTGAAAAGGACCACAATGAACATCTAGTTTCAACCACCTTGCCAAGTGCAGGGTCATCAACTAGACCAGGCTGTCCAGAGCCACATCCAGCCTTAATTAGTTATCTAGGAGGAGGAAGAAAGAAAAAATACAGTACCTATATGAGGAAGTGATACAAACCCAGAAGTTTAAAAGTAGCAGACAAGCTTCTGATGTAATTTTTTTTTTGCAGTTATGGCAGGCCTGAGAGTCGCAGGATGTTGGTTGATACAGAGATAGCTATGGCTTTCGCTGAGGCAAACATGAAAGTTTGCACAAGAGCAACGAGAGGTGCGTGAGTGCTGCTATGGGCTGGGGGCTGCTCACCACTACCAGAAGCCAAGATAAGGGATGGCACGATGGTCCAAAGTCACGCCTGGAAGACTTCCCTGCTGCCTCTTTTCTAAGCTCTACAGCTGCAAGTCAAAGATCAAAGTCACACAAGGTGCTCTTCCACACACAGGCTGTTCTGCAGGAAGAGGGGTTGCAAGGTCTCCACAAACACATTAAATGGGCTTTGAATGAACGTTGAAGCTTCAACAGTTGTTTTTTAAAAAGCCAACAACCAAAATAATAGAAGGATACTGGGAACCACCAGACACAGTCATTACCATTCAGTCATGAGACTTCTCACAAAGCACAAAAGTTGTGTGGGGGGGTTTTGCTTTTTTTAAGGGTATTAATATTATTTTTCACAGCCATACCCTGCTTCACCTCTCTGCTTAGTACCTACCAAAATAATGCCCAACAGGGTGAGCACTAGCTGGCAATAACACTTTCAATCCTATACTACACCAAAAAGCCACAGAAATAAAGTGATCAGAATACATACGCAGAGGGGCAACCTCCTGTGCTCCCACCAAATCGCTGTCATATCAAGCTGCCTTCTGTAGCTCATTATGTGACACTGTGTTGAAATGTGGAGAACACCAACTCATTTGTGCTAATCCAGGCTACTGGCTTACTCAAGTAGGATTTATTACTCACAGATGCTCTACAAAATTACAGTGTAGAATGAGAAACCTCCACATGCACAAGACTTCCTGGAATTGGCAGAGGCTGAGCTAGAAAGCCTGCGGTAACTTCTCACCACATCGCAGAAGAGCTATTCAGGTTGGAATGCCTTTGGCATCAAAAGGAAGATGTGTTTTGGGAAGCCCGATGAGTGTAAGATTCCCTTTTTGTCACCTCTTCTGCTGAAAAGCTTTCTACACTCAAGCTATCTGATTGAATTCAGCCAGTACTGCAAGGCTAGCCTTCAGATGGCTTTTTCAGGTGAAAAATATTCACACAGATGCATGGTATATGAAAAGCAGAACTAGTGAGGAAAAGTCTGACGGTCATTTTCTGCAATGATATGTTCTATCAACCCGTAATTGTTAATCACTTTATACTTCATTGGAATCTTCAATAAAAAGCCAAACTGTCACAGGTTTATTTTATCTCAAGTATATCCCCATACTTGTTGTAAGCTTTTATTTCAGATCCACATTCTTGGAGTTGTAAGCCTTTATTTCAATTCCAAACAGTCGGAAGCAAGACACAGTGACATGGTTCTGGTTGACTGGAAGTCATTTTATTTCTTCGTTTCCTTCGGTGAAAGTAATGATATTGTTGGCTTTTGTCCCTACTCCAAGTGAAGGAAAGTTCTGAAGATTCTGTATAAGATGTCATTGTTTTCCCACAGCCAGTAGTAGGGAGAACAACGGGGCACTTCTCCTCAGCTGCAGATCACTGTGAGGCCAAGTTGGTCTCTGGCACCACAGCCTGGGGACGTCTCCCACAGATGGACTCAGCTTTACCCCCCTCAGACTGAGGGCCTGCTTTCCTCCAGGAGCCAGGGACATTTCTCAGAGGCACTCAACTCGCATTCTGTTTGTGGTGGCCTGGACGGCACCTCCTCAGCACAGAGCTGTGAGCACAACTGCAGAGCCAGCACCTACGTCCTTTACTTAGGGCTTGCAAACACCCTTGCAGCGCAGCTCGTGATGCTCCATGCTGAAGCACACGAATCCTTTTGGGGATTTCACTCGAAGTGAATTGCTGACTTGCACTACACAGATCTGTAGGCCTTCTGTCACCAAAGGAGTCCCTAATTGCCAGATTTCAATGAGATGCTCGGGTGAATTAGATTTGTCTGGTTAAAGTCCTGTCTGGGGAGTAATGGGTTGAAATTACTTGTGAGGAGACTTGCGTGGGAGCTGCAGGGGTAGGAAGGGGGTAAAGAGTCATTATTTTCTTCCTCTGAAACACAGCCACTTTGCCAACACACGCTGTCAAGGCAGACCTGCCCATAGAGTAAATTACAAAGCATTGGCCATGTCAGAAATGAACTCCATCATTATACATTCAAATATCACCCAGACTGACTCCAGCAGATCTGTACCATACAAGTTTGGATCAAATATTAATGTGCACCTGAGAGAGAGCATGTGAATAAGGGAAAACACAAGCACGCAGCACCTTCTCTCCCTCTACTATGGGAAGGCAGCAAAGTAAGTTCTACTGGCTAAGTAGCAGAAGGAGGCATCAAAGGGCAAACTACTCCAAGTATTCTTCAATGTAATCAAATACATGATATTGTAGATGCATCAGATCAAGCTGTTACATTGTCATGAAGTCAGGGGACAGTTTTCACCAGCCTCACCACAACTTTACCACACCAGAAATCCACCTCAGTCTATCTTATGTCCAGGTGGGTATATTCAGTTAAGCAGCTATTCAGAATTGTACCCATGGATTTTTAGATAGTGCTATTCAGGCAAATTCTGTAGCACCTCAGAAGTAACGTTGCTCCTCAACAATGCCTTACTTTACTCACACAGAACAGAAATTTGCAAATTGGACCAAACTTTTAAAGATACTTAAAACAAAAATAGTTAGCAAGTTTTCTGTGCCACCTTCATCATTTCTGCCTTACACTGAGGACCACATCCACACACCAAAATTGTTTATCACTCACTGGAGACAGGTATTTAGCCCTCATCAAAACAACTTTGAGAGAAGCCTGCCCAGGGCTTTGCACTGAACTGATATTTCATGCCACTATACCTTCTGCCAGCAGGTAGCTGGAACAATGTGCCTGAAGCACAAACCACAAAACACCAAAGCCAGCAGCTTACCATTAGACAGACTCAGCTGGGAAATTCTTACTTTTGCCAAAGATGAGCCACTCAGATGAGGCGCCCAGCTATTAGAGGCGGAAAAGAAGCAGGCCTGCAGGCAAACCCTATAAGAATCATCCAAAAGTTTCAACAAAGGAAAGAAAGTGTGCCATCTACTACCAGCAGCATACAGATCTTGAAGGAATTATTATAACTTTCATCAGTTTCAGCTTTGTGAAGAAAAAAAAAAAGGATCACAAAGTCCTTCTCACTTCCTTGAGATTCTTAAGAAACCGCAAAAAAGCCACAGACCTGCTGACATTCACTGCATGTTGCCAGTTACCTGAGCACAGACAGCAGCATGCTGACTGCTGTCACTGGGGGGGCATGGGAACCTTCTTCCATTATAGGGACATAGACCAAACACTCAATCTGAAATGTGACCAACGAGTGGCTTCTCACCCCACATGGTTTCCCCCTGGACCAAGCTATGGTTGAAGTTGCTATCACCAAGGATCAGGTATGTCTCCTTCTCTCCCTGCTCCGATATTTTTCTTTTGGCTCCCTTTGTTCACTCCAGAACTTTGCCTGACGCCTGTCACCCGGCGAGGGAGTGGCGGGCAGCACGCAGCCACCAGCCGGGCCCGGGTGAGGCCAGCGGGAGCCGCAGGATGAGCGCAGGGCTGGACACGAAGCCACGCACGGCTCCCGCTCACCGCTCCCCTGCGCCGGGTCTGGAGCCAGCAACGTCCTACGCCTGGCTGCTCGGGGAGATGAGACAGCGAGAACGTTTCCTCTACGACATATAAACAGGCAGATCCTCACCTTTTTTCTTTTTTTTTTTTTTTTCCTTCCCTCTCTGAGCTGCGGTCACCGGCGGAAAGGATATCAGGGGGAAAAAACACCCGGCCGCGACGCGCGCGTAGGGAGGAGACGCGGGGAAGCGCTACAGGGCAGCGGCGGGGCTGCAGCGAGGCGGGATGCGGGAGCCACGCACGGAGGAGCACGGCACGGTCCCGCAGGCACCGGGATGCCTTCCGCGCGCCCGCTCCGCTCCCTCCACTCGCACCGCGGCCGCGCGACGGGCGGAGGACGACGGGGGCGGCTGCCCTCCTCCTCCGGCACCGTCTCACCGCCGTCCCCCGCGCCGGGCCCAGCAGCGGCAGGAGCACGGCGGATCTCCGCGCTCCCGGTGCCGGGGAGGGGGGGACAGCCGCCATCCCCCGCCCCCGGCGCTCCACAGCACTGAAAGGGCCCTTTGTGGACGACCGAGCCCCAGCATGGGGTACGGGGGGGAGGCAGGGGGAGGAGGACAGTCCCGGTAATCGGGGGGGAGCCCCACAGCAACCCCACCGCTCGGCTGCACAAAGGAGGCGACCGCGCCGCGGCATCCCCCCCCCGCATCCCCGCCTCCCCCGGGCGGTGGCTCGGCCCCGCGGTACCTGTGCGGCGCAGCGCGGGGCCGGCTCTCACATCTCCTCGTCTCTCTCGCCGGTGGCCCTCCGCTGCGCACCGCCGGCGGGCACAGCTCCAGCAGGGCGCGGGGCTGCCACGGGCGCTGCCTCCCGCTCTGCACTGACTGAGCTGCGCTCCGCTCCCCGCGCGGCTGCTGACAGATGGCGCAACCGCAGCGCCGCCACCGCTCCGAGCCGCCACCGCCGCTGCCTCCCCCCGCCCTCCCGCCCGCCGCGCCCCACCGCGGGGGCGGCCCCAGATTGGCAGCGCCGTCGGCCTGTGGCGAAGCGCGGCCGGCAGTCGACGCCGCTCTGATTGGATGACGGCTGAGGGAGGCGGGGCGATGGGGGCTGCGCCTCTGCTGCCGCTCGGCGGGGCGGGGAGGGCAGTGCCGCGCCGCCATCGCCCCCCGGTTCGGGGCTACGGTGGCCTCCTCGGGTGGGAGCCGGCGGAAAGACCGGGGGTGAAGCGTGAGATGGCGCGGAGGGAAAGCGGCCCGTGCTTTCTTCTGTAGGGGGGTGTCCGGAGCCTGTGAGGGGAGCGGGTGCTGAACGTTTCCTCGGGCTGAAATCCGCCGTGAACGGGAGAACAGCCCTAAGGAGATGACGCCTTTGTGAAAGACGGCATTTCTTTAATATCCCTAATTCTTGCAATTGGCATTAGCGGGCTATAAGGGAGCAGCAGGAACGCACCGTGCCGTCCCCGAGCGGCGGCACGCCCTGCCCGGAGGCGGGAAAGGCCGCCCCGCGCTGCGTTCCCCCCGTCCGCAGCGGTAACGGCATTCCTCGGTGCTCCAGCCTCGGGCTGCTCTCGGAACGCAGCCCCGTGTCACCTCGGATGCTCCCGTCTGGCAGACCGGCACATCTCGCCGCCACCGATCTCCCGGGGTCTGGAAGGCGGCTTTGCTTTAGCACTGAAGGAGTCGTATTTTAGGCTTTAGCAAAAGCAGGAGAGACGTGCAAAATGCAGATGCAGACAGTGAGAAGTCTAATGAAACAAGTCGAAATAGCAGAAAGAACAGTAACACATGTGTCCAATAAAAAGGTTTACCAGTATCTGCTCCCCAGTTTTCGTTTGGCTGCTACTAATTAACCCAAAGAATCATTTCATCTTGGTTAATCTGATTTCTTGATAAAATTGCAGTTGTATGTGTTCAAATGTAACCTTGTTTCTATCTGTATGTTTACAGCTGTGCAATTACAACAATAAATGTTTCACCTGTCTCTGTAATAACCATTATGGTTATCTATGTACGTGATTCTTGATCACAACACTTCAGGACCCTCAGAGTTTGTCCACTCATTCATATAAGAAATTTGGAGAGGATGGGATTTCCAAAGGGAAGTTTCATTTGTATCATTTCTCATTTTAAATCTGATTATAGAATCACAGAATCATTAAGGTGACAAAAGACCACTAAGATCATCTAGTCCAACCCCAAGCTGCCTTCACCAGCCCACTAAACACATCCCTCACTGCCACAGCCATATGGTCACTGAACACCTACAGGGACGGTGACTCCACCACCTCCCTGTGCAGCCTGTGCCACTGCCTCACCACTCTTTCTGAGAAGAAATTGTTCCTAACGTTGAACGTGAACCTCCCCTGGTGTGACTTAAAGCCATTACTTCTCATCCTGTCGCTGTTACCCGGGAAAAGATGTGGACCTCTGCATAGACGTATAAGCAAACAACAATTTCAGCTATTTAGGCAGCTTGTTTATTGTCTCCCTCCTAGTTTTTTCATGTGAAGCTGCATGCTTATTTTTATGTTTTATCATACAGAAGATATAAGCAGAATATGAGCAGAAATGTACAGATCATTTGAAAAAACAGTTTTTGCTTTGCATCCTAGTGGGTGATAGCAGGAGAACAGTGGCGTGGACTGGCCCCTCTCTCTTTCCAGAAACATGAGGCAGAATCTCGATCCTTTTGGCTCAGAAGAGCTCTGGATTCATCCACTGGGCCAGCAGCAGTAGCAGCGCTGGAAGCACAGAGCCTCTGCGCAGACATCAAGGTGCCTGACTTTATAAAAAGCTGCATCTTCGTGTGCTCTCAGCTTGCTTCTTTTTATGGGGTCATGCATAATCTTAACTCCCCACAAGTCAATAAGGATTTATATTCTTGTGATCTTAGGCATCCAGGAAGCGAATCAAAGAACCAGGTGTTCTGCCTGCGAGAGATAGAGAAAAGAAATGCACTTCATTCCACAATCAAGAAAGAGAGCAAAAAGAATGCTCGCCCAAAACATTGAGTGTTCTTTGTGTGCTGCCAATTACAGCCAGAATGGCACAATGAAGAAAAAAAGACAAACAGAAGAGTTACTGTTTTTTTTTTTTGTTTTTTTTTTTTTTTTTTTTTTTTTTTCCAGCCAAACCAGAAATTAACCAACTAATCAATGAAGGCAGACCAGAACAATATTACACATCAGCCACACAGCTGCTATAAACCTGGGCACATAAACTAGCTTGGCAGCATGCCATAGAAAGTCTGGTTCTCTGAGCTAGTACAGCTGAAGAGGAGCAAGGTGTGGGGTCAGAAACCAAGCATAGGAAGTAGCATCGGAGGGAAGCATGGGAGGAAGCCTTGGGGTTTCCCTTCAGGAGAACTGTAGTTCCTGTAGGATCATAAAGGCTAGGAGAGGTGTTGTGAGTTTGTGTGCACCTGTGGCAGAGGTTAAATGTGCTGGAGCAATGCCTCCTGTGTGAGTGGAGTCTGCTCATGCCCACAGCAGCTCTTCCTTGCAGAAGGCACCGTGTTTGGCCCTCACTATCATGCTCTGATGATGCTGGTGTCTGCCTTGAGGAATCACCAGGAAAATCTGGCGGGCACACTCCCAATTAAACAGAAGAAAAAATTAAATGTACTTACAGAACACAAAATCTCTTCCTCAAGAAGAGAAGCAGCTTTTTCTAAGCATCTTATCTTAATGTCTGTAATGCTGCTTTCTCCCACTTTCATCTTAGTGGCCTTTCTCTTCAACGCAGACTAATTTCTCCTCTTTCTCCAGACACCTTCAAATACTTTGTCAGTAAAATCTTGAAATAATGTCACTGAAATGCTTATTCCCCTTCAGCCTGTATGGAAAACATGAAAAAATGTCAAGATCTTAATTCCATGAATAGTTACACGTGTGAAATGATGTGTCGGGATTTTCCCTTTTCCTTCCCATTCTGTGCTCCTTTTGTCTTACACAGTGACAAAAACCCATGCCATTTTTGCAGTGAGCAACACGAAAATTATGGAGCCTGTTTGAGATTTACTTATTGACTTGTATTATTGACATAGCACCTGGGAACACAGTGCAACAGTCACAAAATAAGCCACATTGCATGAGTGCCTGATGAACTCGGTGAACAAAAAATCAGGAATGTATGCTTAATAAGTAGCAGTAGCTCCAGCTTGTATTGAAATGCGATGCTCTGAGAAGTAAAACATGCTGAACTTCATGATAGGAAGGAGATGTAAAGGTAGTGCTTTTGTGGAACAATGCAGGACATCAGTTCAGTTCTCTCGATTGTTTCAAACTCCTGTTGGTAAAGCCAGGCTGCCTCTAAGAAAAGGACACATCAGCATTACTTTATGGGTTCTTGCAAGCCATAATTTGAAAAATTGATAGCCTAAGAATCTTTAAAAAGATCCAAACAGTGCTTAGTTTTACAGTGCACTTTTCTCATGAACTTTCTAATGGGATTACATTTCAGAAGGATTACCAAGTGTTTTCTTAAGGCCCTTCACTCAAAGCAATACACTCATCACATGGAGACTAATAGATCACTAATCGTACAGCTCCGCTGTTGTTTCACATTCTCTCTTATGCTTTCTCCCTCTTCCTCTCTTACGCATAAGGGAGTATGCAAAACTGTGCTAAATCCCAGGTACTAAAACAATGGTACAAATGGGAGCAATGCTTCCATTTATTTTGGTTTTGGTTGTGTGTATTTTACTAGCTATACACTGCCATGTATCGCGTATAATAATAATAATTACAGAGTAGCGGGAAAAACATAATCAGAACTTGCCTACAGTATTTTAAGACGGTGACAGTGTTTGCCTGAAACATCCCACTGTGTTTTCAGGAGTTGCCTTGGCTGGGGAGTGCTAAATGGATCCTGCTGACTCACCGCTGATTCCTGCAAAGGGATGCTGAGGTGGCGGATCTGGCTCCCCAGGGACACCGTCTCCAATGTAGGAACAACAGCCTGGAAGTGGAAGGGAAGGGTCTGAGCTGAGCTTCTCATCCTGCTTGTGAATGCTAATAGCGCTGTAATGCACTTAAGCTGAAGGAAGGATATTGGCAGAAGCAGGAAAAGAACGCTTTGCATTTTGCATAAGATACATATAGGTCATTTGAGAGAGCAGGTAGACAAGGAAGACTTGATCACAACTGTATCTTTAAAAAATCAGCAGAAGAGGCCTTTTCAGGAGAGAGCCTAATCAGAAATATTTGTGTTCACAAGCACAAGTTGGAAGAAGTGTTTCCTCAGACACTTCATGGACATTTTGCAAAGCCAGCAAACTAGGTGCTAAACTGTCAGAATAACATCTTTAAAGAGATTGTGCAGTTTGTGAAAGTTAAATTTCTGCATTTATAAGGTCTGGATATGTTTGCAGTCTGTGTGGTTACACGTGGACTTGGGCAAAAAAGAAACAACACATGGAGTTACATAAGAAAATCCAGGAATAACATTAAAAATATTAAATCCATCTTTTTATAACTTCCAGACATATTAAGTGTCAGATCAACAATCTCACTTTTTAAATTGCTCAAATAAACATTTTAAACTCCTTGTGCAAGTTCATAAAATGTATTGACTTTCAGAAAAAATACTTTTTTAATCACAGCTAAGAGCTTGTGGGAAAAGAACACTGGGAACAGCCATGCACTTATAGTTCAGCCAAGAAGGACATTAATTCTTTTTTGGGGACGGTATCTTTTGGAATATACAAGAAGCTGCACCTATTGCATCACATCATTTTGTGGAAATGAAGAACAGTTAATGCAATTAAAGGCAAATCACTGTTCTGCTATCCATGTGAGCCCTGTGCTGAGCATCAGAGGAA